CCAGGACACTCCTGAAGAGGAGGCCCACAGAGTTGAGCATTATCACTGTAGGATGATCTATCAAAACTTTGCAGTTGAGTGCTTGATGGAATTCTCCCTGATAACTGGTTGTTCGACAAGTCCAACACACTAAGAAAAGTCAAATTAGCAAGATCTTGCGGTATCACACCAGAAAGCTGGTTTCTTGACATGTCAAGAGACTCCAACATCCTCATTTGACCTATTCCTTCAATGACAGTTCCATTCAGCTCATTTCTTGAGAGGTTCAAAGATTTCAATCCTCTCATATCAGCTATTTCTTTAGGAACACCTCCAATTAATTCATTACTTGAAAGATCAATAGTCTTCAGATATAATAAAGGATTCTTGTACTCAGACTCTTGATTTTTCCATTGAACCAATAGGTCACCAATATACAAGTAACGACGAGGAAATTTACCATAGAAACCTTGAACTATAAATTCCATTGGCTCACCAGAATTATTATCTTGATACAATAAGGTGAAATTGTTGAAGCAATGTGGAATTTTCCCTGATAATCCATTCGCTGAAAGGTCCAGTATCTGAAGAAATTGAAGCTGACAGATTATGGATGGTATGCTGCCATGCAATCTGTTGAACCGCAGGCTTAGAATTCGCAAGTTGAGTAGATCAGTCCCTATCCATCCAGGGATACTTCCTGTCAACTTATTCCCTCCAAGATCCAAGATTTGCAACCCCTGACATTGTGAAAAAGAAGGCAACATTCCACTTAAACTGTTTTGGCGTATGTATAACGCCTTCAAATTTGTCAAGGAACCCAATGAATGTGGAATTTCTCCAGAGAAATTGTTATAAGCTAGATTAAGAACAGCTAGACTTGTCATGTTCATCCAACAATCTGGAAGTTCTCCTGAGAATTGATTGTGTGACAAGTCTAGAGAAGTGGGAGATGTTCTACTTCGACAAATTGAAGAGATGGATCCAAAAAACTGATTTTTATGCAGGTAAAATATTTGGACATTGGTAGGGACTAGTGGCAAAGCCCCTGAAAAGTTGTTATAGCTTAAATCTATAACCCTGTACCCATATGTATTCTCTATTAAGTCAGACACTCTTCCACTGATTTGGTTGTTTGAGAGATTCAAAATCTTTAGATCGGGGGGGAAGCTAGAGAACCAACTTGGAAGCGTGTCTGAAATACTCGCAAGAGAGATATCAAGAACAGTATAGTTGTTCTGATTTTGAAGCCATTTTGGGAAAGAAGGTCCCAAATTGCAAGACGGCAGGCTTATAACTTGTAGCTGAAAAGGAGGAAGCCAATTGAAGCTCGTCTTCAGAGCCAATGAGTTGAATGACAAGTCCAAATCCACTAAACTGGAGAGGTTTGAAAGGTGGGACTCAGTAATTGTTCCCTTCAGGACATTGTAAGAGGCATCAAAACTTTCCAGATTAGATAGTTGCCCCATACTTTCTGGTAGTCCTTCCAGTCTATTGGACGAGACATCCAAAATTCTAAGCTGTGAAAGTTTTCCGATACCTTGTGGTATCCTCCCTCGAAATTGATTAGAGCCAAGATGCAACTCTCTCAATGATGGAAACAATGCTAAATCTGGTAATGCCCCTCTCATTTGGTTTTCAGACAAATCCAGATACTCAAGGGTAGAAACTTGTCCCGCACTTTCCATAAAAGAACCATTCAGCATATTCTTCTGCAGGTATAATTTCTTTAAGGATGAAAATCTTGTTGCATTAACAATTGAACCAAACAATGAGTTTTCGTTCAACCCCAAAACCTCAAGTGATTTCCTACTGCCTGATAACCTGAGAAACAACTCAGGAAGCCATTGGACTGTCTGAGTATTAGACATGTCCAGATGACGTAAACGTGTCAAATTCCCAAAAGAACTGGGAACCCCACCTTCAATCTTTAAGTTATTAGCAAGATCAAGATGTTCAAGATACATCAAGGTCCCAAAGCGATCATCAATTTGACCGCTGAGTTGATTATAAAGGAGGTCAATGCTAGTTAGGCTTGTGGTCAAATTGAATACCCAGCTATATTCAGATGAAGAAGAAAACTCATTACAACATAAATGAAGAACAGAAAGAGATATTAAAGAAGAATTGGCTAAATCAGCTTGAGATGGAACCAACTTAGAGAGTCCACAACCACTCAAGTCCAGTTCTTTCAATGAAGGGACCTTAGTTATCTCTTGAAACCAATTGTTTACTTGGAAGTTGCTAGAACTCAGACTCAAAAACTCTAGAGAAGACAGATGAGAAAGCCATCTAAGGTCCTTTACTATAAGATTATTTTCTCCAAGATCAAGAGTCCTTAAAGAAGTTAGATTCTGGAACTGTATTGGAATTACACCAGAAAAAAAAGAAGCTGACAGGTTCAAGTACTCTAGTCTCTTAAGTGAGCCTATGAATCTTGGTATTTCACTTCTTTCAAATTCATTAACACTGAGGTCCAAGTAATTCAAGTACTCCAACTCAAGCAGAGAAGGGCTAAGTTTACCTGTCAATCTAGGAGCAAAACAAGCACTGGCACCAGCAGAACAAGTAAACTTATTGTGTAGATCAATAACAGTTACATGACCTGTTCTTCTGTCACATTCAATACCCTTCCATTTGCAGCATTCTTGTTTATCTTCTTCATCACCCCATGTAGATAAATGATCAAAAGAATCAGTAAGACCTCTTTTGAACTCAAGAAGAGCATCTCTCTCCTTATCTAAACATAGGGTCTTGTTACCACCTAATCCAAAAGATGTCTCTAGGAACAGTAGAGACAAAGTGAAAAGGAACTGTGCTAATCTTGCATATTTCCATTTGTCCATTGTTTTTTGCTTGAAACTATGAGCAAGAAGCAATTAATATATACATATATATATATATATTTACCATTGACTAGTTCTTGCATGTATCTATGTACTTTCCTAGATAAGTGACCCCACTTTGATAAGAAAAAAGAATGAAAAGTAGAGTTATTCATTGCATCTCATTTTTGTCCCACTTTGGCTAGTAGCATAAACAAGTTACATGGAAACTTCTAAACCAAAAAGACTAAGAAAAGCAAAATGAATAAAGGGCCACATCAAATATCCATGTAAACTTCCAAGTTCCAACAATATCACCTAATTTTCTCTTGCATGAATCTATTTTTCCTAGAAAACTTGAAAGGTCATTTATCAATTAGGAAATTTAATGCTTAGATATCCTAAATTTACAGACTTTGCTCTAGTTATTTTAACAACTTTAGTTGGACATAAAAACAAGTGAGTCCCCACTTTGAGAAGAAAAAAAAAGAATCAAAAGAAAAGTTATATTACACATAACATGGGATTTTTCTGCCAATTTGGCTAGTAGCATTAACAAATTCATGGAGATGGAGTCAAAGAAGACTTCTATAGAAAAAGCACTACTCTCTCTGTATAATAAAATTTACAAGCTAATTTATGTAGATAAATTTATGGAAAAATGACAGGAATTTTCACCTTTAAGTTCTCTTATTACCAATATCCCCTATTAGTTTTATAAATTTCCAAAATTTCTCATTTTCATGTATTCGATTAATGTATCAGCGCATCAAATTAATGTATCTCGCACATCATATTAATGTATCATGCACATCAGATTAGTGTATCAAGTATAAAAAATGTACATCAATTAGTGTATCATGTATAAAATGTAATGTATCTTACTTAACAATTAATATATATCGCCTCATCAGATTAATGTATCAGCGCTTATATCATTATATCAGTTTGAGAGATTTTTGTAATTATAAATTTATAAGGGACAAATGTAATTTTGCCTTAAAAGTATGTGATTTTTGTCTTTTGCCTTAAATTTATTGATACAAATATAAAACATAAACTCAAAAAAATAAATAGAATGACTAAAATAATTTGCGGGATATTTTTGTGTTTACATATATTAAATTTTATGTATTATAAATACCACCAAATGGAATGTATTAGTAATACATCCGACAATATCATGCAGAGTGTGTAACTAATGTATGGATTAATTATACATAGGTCCAAAATTCATACCAAATATAATATTAAATAATATCGTACATAATACATGAACGATTTCTCCTAATACTTTCTACCAAGGCTCGTAACTATCGAATGAGTATATTATATTTGTTAATGTGAATATGCAATATATAGTATTAAAATAGTGATATAATACTCAAAAGGAAAATAGTAAAAAGACGATTTTGTTTAAAGTGAAGTCTTTCAACGAAGGGTAAAAAATCCAAAAAAAAACATTATTATGGATATTTCAACTTTTGATATAATATAAATAGATATAGATATATATATAGATACATAAAATTCATTGCAAAACAAGTAGACTGGCACAAGAAATCCTAGTTTAAACTTATATTTTGTTTGAACATTCCATAACTATTATAGTAAGATACTACTATATATGTATACTAATATTTGAATTTCTATTACAAACAAAAGCATGTAGAGAAAATAGTTTAATGGTTTTGTGTTAAAAAATAATGAGCATATTTCAGTATTTGTCAACTAGTTAAACCAAAAACACATAAAGATTATGAAAGTAAAAAGACAAATACCAATAGTATTTTCTCGCAAAGTTATGACTATAATTGATGGATAGCATTAAAATACAATTTTTTTTCCTTTTAGATATTGATACTTGAAATTTACTATGTGCATTACATTAATGATGATTTCGATATATGTATGATTGTTGTAATGGAGTAATTTTACTATACAATATTTTGGGTGATTTTAAAAAGAGTTTACTGTTATAATGAATCACATTTCGATTATAGGCAGATCATGTTATTATAGAGAAGTAAAATATAACATGGAAAATCGATTCAAAAGAAAATCATATCGTTATAATGAATGATTGTTATAGAGGTTGCTTGCCACTTCTAAACTTTAGTACTACTAGATTTTTTCTAATATAAACAAGTTAACAACTCTTGACAGTAAACAAAGTACATAGAAACTTTACATTGTTCAGTTCCTTAGCTTTCCCTTCAGTCTTGCAAAGCAGACTCTTGATGTCATATGGAGCCAACTCTTCATGTCTGTTAAGAATGTGAAGTAGGCATTCCTCCACGAACGGTTGACAATCAAACAGCCTAAAATTCCCCAGAACGTGACGAAGAAACCTAGCACCATTGATACATAAAACTCCAGAGATGAGAACTCATCATCATCATCATGTTCTTGTGGATTGGTGTTGCTTCCACGATCGATAGGGGGAGCATATCCAGGACACTCTTCAAGAGGAGGACCGCAGAGTTGAGCATTGCCACTATAGGATGATCTATCGAAACTCTGCAGTTGAGTGCTTGATGGAATTCTTCCTGATAAGTGGTTGTTCGATAAGTCCAACACACTAAGAAAAGTCAAGTTAGAAAGGCCCTGAGGGATCATGCCAGAGAGTTGGTTTCTTGACAAGTCGAGGGACTCCAACAACTTCATTTGACCTATTCCTTCAACGACAGTTCCATTAAGATCATTTCTCGAGAGGTTCAATGATCTCAATCCTCTCATTTCAGCTATCTCTTTAGGGATACCTCCAACTAATTTATTACTTGAAAGATCAATGATCTTCAGATATAGTAAAGCATTCTTGTACTCGGACTCCTGGTTTTTCCATTGAATCAGTAAATCACCTATGTACAAGTAAGATCCTGGAATATAGTCATAACGGACTTTAAAATCCATTGACTCACCAGAGCCATTTTCTTGACGCAATATGGTAAAGTTGTTGAGGCACTGTGGAATTTTCCCAGATAATCCATTTTCTGAAAGGTCCAGTATCTGAAGAAATTGAAGCTGGCAGATAAGTGATGGAATGCTGCCATCGAATTTGTTGGAACGTAGGCTTAGAATGCGCAATTGGAGTAGGTCAGTCCCTATCCATGCTGGGATTCTTCCAGTCAACTTATTCCCTCCAATATCCAAGATTTGCAGCAGCTGACATTGTGAAAAAGAAGGCAACATTCCTCTAAAGCTGTTCTGACGTATGTATAACGCCTCCAAATTTGTCAAGGAGCCTAATGATTGTGGAACTTTTCCGGAGAAATTGTTGTAGGCTAGATTTAGAACAGCTAGATTACTCATATTCATCCAACAATCAGGAACTTCTCCTGAAAATTGGTTGCGTGACAAGTCGATGGAAGTGGCAGCTCCTATTGTATTTCTACAAATGGAAGAAATGGATCCAGAGAAGTGATTTTTATGAAGGTAAAAGATCTGTATATTGGCAGGAACTAGTGGCAAATGTCCTGAAAAGTTGTTAGAACTTAAATCTATAATCATGTAATCTTGTTTACTCACTATGAACTCCGAAACTCTGCCACTGATGTGGTTGTTAGAGAGATTCAGAATCTTGAGCTCGGGAGGAAGATTGGAGAACCAACTTGGTAGCATGTCTGATATATTCGCAAGAGAAATATCAAGAAGAGTGTAGTTATTCTGAGTTTGTAGCCATTTCGGAAAAGAAGGTCCCATATTGCAAGATGGAAGCCTTATAAATTGTAGTTGAAAAGGAGGAACCCAATCGAATCTCGTGTTCAAAGACAACAAGTTGAAGGATAGGTCTAAGTCTACTAAACTGGAGAGGTTTGAAAAGTGGGACTCTGTGATTGTACCCTTCAGGACATTATAAGAAGCATCAAACCTTTCCAGGTTTGATAGTTGCCCCATACTTTCTGGTAAACCCTCTAATCTATTGGACGAGACGTCAAAAATTCTAAGCTGTGAAAGTTTTCCAATACCTTGTGGTATCCTCCCTTGAAATTGATTAGAGCCAAGATGCAACTCTCTTAATGATGGAAAAAGTGCTAAATCTGGTAATGGCCCTCTCATTTGGTTATCAGACAAGTCTAGATACTCGAGGCTCGAAACTTGTCCCACTCTTTCCATGAAAAAACCATTCAGCATATTCTTCTGCAGGTATAATTTCTTCAAGGATGAAAATCTTGTGACATTAACAATTGAACCAAACAACGAGTTGTCGTTCAATCCCAAAACCTCAAGTGATTTCCTACTACCTGATAACCTGAGAAACAACTCAGGAAGCCATTGGTATGTCTGAGTGTTAGACATGTCCAGATAATGTAGACGTGTCAAATTCCCAAAAGAACTTGGAACCCCACCTTCAGCCCCAAAATTATTAGCAAGATTAAGATGTTCAAGATACATCAAGCTCCCAAAGCGATCATCAATTTGACGACTGAGTTGATTATGAGAAAGGTCTATGCTAGTTAGGCTTGTGCTAAAATTGAATAACCAGCTATATTCAGATGAAGTAGAAAACTCATTACAACATAAATGAAGAACAGAAAGAGAGATCAAAGATGAATTAGCTACATCAGCTGGAGACGGAACGAATTTAGAGAGTCCACAAACACTCAAGTCCAATTCTTTCAATGAAGGGACCTTAGTTATCTCTCGAAACCAGTTTCTTGCTTGGAAATCGTTACCACCAAGGCGCAAGAATTCTAGAGAGGAGAGATGAGAAAGCCACACAAGGTCCTTTACTATAAGATTATTGTTTCCGAGATCAAGAATCCTCAAAGAAGTTAGATTCTGGAACTGTGCTGGAATTTCACCAGAAAAATCAGAAGATGAAAGGTTTAAGTACTCCAGTCTCTTAAGGGAGCCTATGAATCTTGGTATCTCACTATTTTCAAATCCATTAACACTGAGGTCCAAGAAATTCAAATACTCCAACTCAAGTAGAGAAGGACTAACTTTACCTGTCAATATTGGAGCAAAACAAGCATGGCCTGGACAAGTAACCTCACTGTGGAGATCAAGAACAATAACATGACCTGTTCTTTTGTCACATTCAATACCCTTCCAATTGCAGCATTCTTCTTCATCACCCCAGGTAGATAAACGACCAAAATCGTCGTTAAGGCCTCTTTTAAACTCAAGAAGGGCATCTCTCTCCTTTTCTATACAAAGGGTCTTGTTAACTTCTCTTGAAGTTAATCCAAAAGCTGTCTCTAGGAGCAGTAAAGACCAAGTAACAAGGAAATGTCTTGGATTAGTTCTTTTGCCCATGGTTCTATACAAAAGGTCTTGTTAAATTCTCTGTATTTCTGAAATTTTTAGTATCTACTTGTTTTTATATAAATAGGAAACAGAAATCCATGACTTTGAAGTCTTCTCAAACCCAACCAAAATATTAGACAAACACTCAACAACAACAACATACCTACTATACTCCGTGGGGTCTGGGGAGGGTAGTGTGTACACAACCTTATCCGTACTATTGTCAAGGTAGTGAGACTATTTCTGAATATTAGAAGAAGACTCAACAACAACAACATACCTATTATATTACGAGAAGTGGGGTTCAGGGAGGGTGGTGTGTATGCAGCCTTGCCGGTACTTTTGTGAAGGTAGAGAGGTTGTTTTTGAATATTAACAAAGCTTGATATCATAGTCAAGTGACCCTACTTTGAGAAGAAAATAAAAGAAAAATTATACCATATGAACATTTAATTTTCTTCTACTTTGACTAAGTAGCATAAACAAGTACCTAGAGTCAAAAAAAAAGATGGAGTTTATTTGACTTTTACATACCAAAATAAATAGTAAGAAAAGCAAAATGGGAGAAGGGTCAACATTAGAGTAGGCCATCCAGACATATATCACTAATGTGAATGTGAATTGAGAAATTTCTAAGGGCTAGGCTGAAGCTTTTCATCTTTTTTTTTTATATAATAGTAATGTTCGGATCAGCTTGCATACACCTCAATTATCGAGTTTTTTCTTAAAAGTAAAACAAAGTACACACAAGTTTTACATTTATCAGGCCCTTGTAAGATTTTTCATGAGTCTTGCAAACCAGACTCTTGATATCATATCGAGCCAACTCCAACTCATCATGTCCGTTAAGAATGTGAAGTAGGCATTCCTCCAAGAACGGTTGACAATTAAACAGCCCAAGATTCCCCAAAATGTGACAAAGAAACCTATCACCATTGATATATGAAACTCCAGATATGAGTACCCCTCATCATCATCATGTTCTTGTGGATTTGTGTTGCTGCCATGATCGATATGGGGTCTAGGAGGAGCATATCCGGGACATTCTTGAAGAGGAGGACCACAGAGTTGAGCATTATCACTGTAGGATGGTCTATCAAAACTTAGAAGTTGAGTGCTTGATGGAATTATCCCCGATAACTGGTTGTTCGACAAGTCCAGCACACTAAGAAAGGTCAAATTAGCAAGACCTTGAGGGATCACACCAGAAAGCTAGTTTCTTGACAAGTCAAGAGACTCCAACATCTTCATGTGACCAATGCCTTCAATGACACTTCCATTCAGATCATTTCTTGAAAGATTAGGAGACTATAATCCTCTCATCTCAGCTATCTCTTTAGGTATACCGCCAACCAATTTATTACTTGAAAGATCAATAGTCTTCAGATATAATAAAGGATTCTTGTACTCAGACTCCTGTTCTTTCCATTGAATCAATAAGTCACCAATGTATGAATAGTAAGTAAGAGGAATATTACGACCTTCAATATAAAATCCCATTGGTTCACCAGAACTATCATCCTGATACAATAAGGTAAAATTGTTGAAGCAATGTGGAATTTCCCCTGATAATCCATTTGCCGAAAGGTCCAGTATCTGAAGAGATTGAAGCTGACAGATAACTGATGGTATGCTGCCATAGAATTTGTTGAACCGCAGGCTTAGAATCCGCAAATTGAATAGATCAGTCCGTATCCATGCTGGGATTCTTCCTGTCAACTTATTCCCTCCAATATCCAAGATTTGCAACCGCTGACATTGTGAAAAAGAAGGCAACATTCCACTAAAACTGTTTTGGTGTAAGTATACAGCCTCCAAACTTGCCAAGGAGCCTAATGAAGGTGGAACTTTTCCAGAAAAATTGTTATAAGCTAGATTAAGAACAGCTAGATTAGACATATTCATCCAACAATCTGGAAGTTCTCCTGAGAATCGGTTGCGTGACAAGTCAAGAGAAGTGGTGGCAGTATAACTTTGACAAATGAAAGAGATGGATCCGACAAACTGATTTTTATGCAGATAAAATATTTGGACATTGGTAGGGACTAGTGGTAAAGGCCCTGAAAAGTTGTTAGAGCTTAAATCTATAACCCTGTAAGCATATTTATTCTCTATTAAGTCAGAAACTCTTCCACTGATTTGGTTGTTTGAGAGATTCAAGATCATTAGATCAGGGGGCAAACCAAAAGAACCAACTTGGAAGCGCGCCTGAAATACTTGCAAGAGAGATATCAAGAACAGTATAGTTATGTTGATTTTGAATCCATTTTGGGAAAGAAGGTCCCAAATTGCAAGATGGAAGGCTTACAACTTGTAGCTGAAAAGGTGGAAGCCAATCAAAGCTTGTCTTCAGTGCCAATGAGTTGAATGACAAGTCCAAATACACTAAACTGGAGAGGTTTGAAAGGTGGGTCTCAGTGATTGTACCCTTCAGGACATTATAGGAGGCATCGAAACTTTCCAGGTTCGATAGTTTCCCCATACTTTCTGGTAATCCATCCAGTCTATTGGACGAGACGTCCAAAATTTTAAGCTCTGTGAGTTTTCCAATACCTTGTGGTATCTTCCCTTGAAATTGATTAGAGCCAAGATGCAACTCTCTCAATGATGGAAACAATGCTAAATCTGGTAATGCCCCTCTCATTTGGTTATCAGACAAATCCAGATACTCGAGGGTAGAAACTTGTCCCGCACTTTCCATGGAAAAACCATTCAACACATTATTCTGCAGGTATAATTTCTTCAAGGATGAAAATGTTGTGAGATTAACAATTGAACCAAACATTGAGTTGTCATTCGACGCCAAAACCTCTAGTGATTTCCTACTGCCTGCTAACCTGTGAAACAACTCAGGAAGCCATTGGTATGTTTTAGTGTAAGAGATGTCCAGATAAAGTAAATGTGTCAAATTCCCAAAAGAACTGGGAACCCCACCTTTAATATTAAGATTACCAGCAAGATTAAGATGTTCAAGATACACCAAACTTCCAAAGCGATCATCCATTTGACCGGTCAGTTGAACATTATAAGAGAGGTCTATGCTAGTTATGCTTGTGCTAATATTGAATAACCAGCTATATTCACATGAAGTGGAAAAATCATTACCTCTTAAATGAATGACAGAAAGAGATATCAAAGATGAATTGGCTAAATCAGCTGGAGATGGAACCAACTTAGAGAGTCCACAACCACTCAAGTTCAATTCCTTCAATGAAGGGACCTTAGTTATCTCTTGAAACCAATTGTTTACTTGGAAGTTGCTAGCACTCAGACTCAAAAACTCTAGAGAAGACAGATGAGAAAGCCATCTAAGGTCCTTTACTATAAGATTATTGTCTCCAAGATCAAGAGTTTTTAAAGAAGTTAGATTCTGGAACCATATCGAAATTACTCCAGAAAAAGAACAATCTGAGAGGTTCAAGTACTCTAGTCTCATAAAAGAGCCTATGAATCTTGGTATTTCACTATTTTCAAAGTCATTCATGCTGAGGTCCAAGAAATTCAAATATTCCAACTCAAGTAGAGAAGGGCTAAGTTTACCTGTCAATCTTGATGTAACACAACCACTGGTAGAACAAAGAAACTCATTGTGTAGATCAAGAACAGTTACATGACCTGTTTTTGTGTCACATTCAATACCCTTCCATTTGCAGCATTCTTGTTTATTTTCTTCATCACCCCATGTAGATAAATGATCAAAACCATCAATAAGGCCTCTTTTGAACTCAAGAAGGGCACCTCTCTCCTTTTCTATACACAGAGTCTTGTTAACTTCTCTTGAAGTTAATCCAAACAATGTCTCTACAAACAGTAAAGACAAAATAACAAGAAAATGAGCTAATCTTGGATATTTCCTTTTTTCCATTGTTCTTTGCTTGAAGCAACTAAATTTTCTCTCTTTTACTTTTGAAATCTTTAGCTTATTCAACTATATTCAAATTTCCATTAATATCTTTACCATTGACTGTTTCTTGCATGCATATTTTCCTAAAAAAGGGACTCTTAAGGGAAAAAAATTATACTAAAAACTTGAACTTGGCATAAAAACAAGTGACCGCACTTTAGATGGTAAAAAAGATCAAAAAGAGAAATGATTCATTGCATCTGATTTTCTTCCACTTTGGCTACAAGTTCATGGGGAGATGACTTTTATACAAAAGAAAGAATTAAGAAATGAAAAGTGAGAGAAGTGCTCAACTTTAGTAGTTGCTACACTTATTACAAAGTTTGTGGACATTAACCAGTTGTTGATAATGATATATCAATGGTGTAAATGTGATTTGAGATACTTTTCATCCAATATAAGTAGTCTAAGATAAAAAACTTATGAACCTACATATAACTGATATGATGGGGTAATGTTTTGTACTGAGGATGGAAAAATTAGGAAACTAACAACACCAAATATACATGTAAAACTTCCAACATTATCACCTATTTTAATGTTTTTTTCCTTCAAGTGTCATTTTTTATTTAGCGGGATGAGGCGAGGTAGCAAAAAATCATGAAAAATTTGTCATTCTTTCCCAAGATATAAAAAGGTGAAGCCTTCAGATATATCCTTTCCTTGACATCATGGTGGCATATCGGAGTGTGGAGCCTCGGTTTTCACATCAGAATAAACTATAGGATGTGTCATTGTCGGCAAGTGAAATGATACATATTTGCTCCATCTACTAAAACTGTAGACATAACCAGAAAAAAGGGAACTGTACCATCTTCTGATTCATCATATTCATTGGATAAGAAACTTATCAGGATTGCAACAACACTTGGGAACGGAAAACAGGTACTTTCCTCAGCTTGTGATATTAGCAGGAAATAAATTGCGAAAGTAGTAGTTTCTGTTAATGTTTACTCCATCTGTTTTTTAAGAGAACATTCTATCAGCAACCAGAAGAAAAGAATCACAACCATCTGCGGGGAAAAGCAGTTTGACAGTCTCATACGGCATTCATAGATTGGAAGCTGCAGAACCTCTTTAAACTCTAAACTGCAAAGCAAATACAATTAAAACCCTCCTCTTGGCTCCAAGAAAACATCAGAACTAACCTACAGCGGCCTTATGCCAGTATGTTAAACCGTATAACCGTGGGAATATAGATTATTAAACCATGTGTTTGGTCCAGGTTGTTTAGGTCAGCAAGAAACAGAGTTAAATGGTGGAATCTGCTCCTAGTGCCCTCTAATATCACAACATGACAGCAAAGGTAACAGATTCTTACTACGAAAATTTCTCTAAAATTGAAAAAACAAAGATTCAGATTGGCTCTTAAGCCTTTCAATAGTCTGATTAATTCCTTTCTATATGGAAAGCCGGTTAAATTAGTAATGCTAACTGCAAAGGAAATCTAAGCTTAGGTGCTGACGAGAGTACAAATAAGGAACTACGCTGCGAATGCAATTTGTGGTGAAAAGTCAAAACTTGTTAAACTTAAAATTTCACCTATAAATAAGGTTAAAAGTTCATTTCTCACCTGTTAGATGTATGTGTCCACTAGTGATCCTGGATTAGGTCCCTCGATAGAATAATAGTGCGGAACACAAATCCTTGGAGCAAAGCCATTGGCTGAGAGTCTGTTATCGTAAAAAGTCATGCACCAACCATGTCAGATTTGACAGCTTCTAGACAACTGTCTTTTGTCCTTTTCATGTACGCAGTCTTTCCTCGACCAGGTCCCTTGTTAGATCTGGAAGTTTGTTAAATCATCAAAACTTCAGATCATCTTAATAAAACATCACCTATCTACAAAGTCATTTTGTAAATCACCTTATTACTTTAAAAATGAAATAACGAGAAAGTAATGTATCTTGGCTTGTGTATATTCGTGTGGAAGTTTTTCTTTATTCACAGATTGACCTGAACTCTACGTTATTTAAGAAACAAAATAAAAAGACAACAATATTATCAAATTTTGTGCATGAAATAAATCTTGCAGAAACGTGACTCGTGAACCTTATTGCACTGTTTTTGAAAGTGCATAGTTAAATCAACTTCTCCCTCTTTGTTAGTCATGATGTTTTGGTAGATTTTTTTGTCTTCATATTCTGTTTGTTCCTTTGCTTTAGATTTTGGATTATGAACGCTTAAGGGCATCTTGATCAACATGTCTCAAACTGAGAACACCTTGCTTAATTGTTATCCTCTGAATCTGAATACAGTATGGCCTGCCATAGTGATCCAAATTTGCAAGAAAAGTTGTCGTCGTTTGAAATGTAGCCCTTAATGACCTGCCATAGTAATGTATCCCAAAATGACATGATTATATACTTAGCATAGCATTCTCCCTCTGTAAACTCTGTAACTTCTTTATGTCTTCATTCAAAAGTTTCTACGTTTATGCAATCGCCAAGATGGAAATGAAACATTAGAATCCAAAGGAATGACAAAGAGAAGGTACATGTTCACTTATTCATAAGTTTCAAGGTCACTTATCTATACACAATGTATACATATATGTATATGCCTACATTACCCTTAAATTTGTTTCCTTTTTACGAGACATGTCGATCCCGACTTTGAACCCACACTTGTGATAGTGGAAAAAGTTATACAGGTTTTTCTCTAGTTATACTAACAACTTGAATTTGGCATAAAAACAAGTGACCCCACTTTCAAAAGAAGAAAAAATCACAAAGAGAAATGATCTATTTTCCACAAGTTGATGGGGAGAGATGGAACCAAAGAAGACAGTGTAATAAAGTTTGTGGCCACATTAACTAGTTGTTGATAATGACATCAATGGTGTAAATGTGATTTGAAATATTCTTCATCCAATATAAGTAGTCTAAGATAACAAATTTATATGAACTCATATAACTTGGATAATAAGGTCAAGTTTCGAACTAAAAACAGTTCATTGGACCAAGATTAACTGCAAACAAGAACAACAAAAGTTGTGTAACAACACTCCGTTGGATGTTGAAGTGAACAATTCGGATGCTAATTTAGGATAGTGTTCGAGTTTAGTCTTCTGTAGAAGAAGCGTTGCTTACGCGGAGAATCAGTTCAAAAGGAGAAGTCGAAATTCAGTAGCAATGTTAGATGGCTTTCGACTTCTCCAATCCTCCAAATCAACAACACTTGTTCTCCATAAAACTAAACTCAAAAACTATACATCTAAAATGTTATTGTTGATGAGAAACAGACCAAATTAGTGATCCATGCTTCAAAACCATCTCGAAAATGATTAGACATATAATTTCATCACCTGACTAATGTCGAAAATCTTATAATCTTGTTTTCCTGAATCAAAAAAGGGCTAAGAATTTTTTCGAATACAAACAAAATTAAAATTGAATAAATTCATGACTTTTAGAATATCAAAATTATGCATACAAAAGAATGTAATAGTGTTTCTCAAGATTCATTCACTTTATAAATAAAATCAGTGTTCCCTTCAAAATTTAACATGGAAGATTTTTCAAATACTAAAAACGTAGAGCAGCCTGTACCAACTCCGGCCAACTTCGCCGTCCTGAACAACAATCAGGTAACGGAACTCTCTTTTTTCTCAGACCCACTTAGTGGCTGAACTCCATGAATATTGTGTTTGATAAATTGTCGCATTGAGCCATTTCTGTTCTATTCAGAAATTTTGAGTTTTTTTGTTCACTTGTTAATCTGAATTTGTTTCTATGAATTTTCTTGGTAGATGGTTTATGATATTGGGTGAACTTTAATTCCACTTATTTGGGAGGGGAAAAAAGTATAGGCTGCACTAAAATGAATAGTGTCCACCATCTGTTTGATTAATTGCCACATTGAGACATATTGTCATATTCAGAATGGTTTTTTTTACCTTCTATGTTCTGTTTGATGTGGAGAGTACAAGTGTTACGAACTTGAACCTTCAAACAATTCAGGTAAGGATGTTACGAAGGATATAATAATGAATAAATATGCACATCAATAAGAATTCCTTCACTATAAACAATTTGTGCCTTATAATCTCCACATAACGAACAAGCCCTTAATGCACCACATAAACTCTTGGAAGTGCAACAAATGTCTAATTGAGCGATACTAGTTGTAGTATAGCAGACAGCCGGCTTTCATACATGCAACAGGTTCCATAAACTTCCATTTTCAGCAGTAGGCACGCTGTTTCCTTCTCTGCATAGTGCTTTTGTCTCCGTTGCCATTCTCTCTCAAGCACACCTCTATTATCTAGTTGATTACTTCTTCTTTTTTTTTAGTTTGCTTACTGCAAACCCATTATCATTGAATAATCTACTTTGCCGAATGACTGAAGTTCGTTACTATTTTGACACATCGTGATCTAGTTTATTGTTGTGGTGATTTACTTGTAACTTTTCATAGTAGTACACCATCTGTTTCAGAAAATTTCTATAACGATATATTGTCTGCTTTAGTGATTACTTTATCTTGTTGCATCCTTTCTGCTTATTTGGCTTTCAGATGACGAGCTATGTGAAAGAGACATTTGAATTTATGAAGCTTGCTTTAGAACAGGTATAGCCTCTTATACTTGATCAAAAAAATAGGTATAGCCTCTTATGTTGCCAATTTAGTTCATGTGTGCGTATATTTAGTTTGACGCTCCAATCAGATGAACAACTACAAGTTGATCGGAAAAAGGAAACTGATAATCAAGCGTGTTCCAACCTAACAAGAATGATGAAATACCAATTTCCTACAGATGACTAAAAAGAAAAACTTTATTGGTCACATTACTATAGACCGAATTGACTTTTTTACACAATAACCCCAATGTAATTCAAGCAACCTGTTACTGTAATGTGAGTGAAAATGTGAAATTGAATCTTTTTTTCCTTCATTATTTGTTTATTTTGTTCAGAGCAAGCAATTTGTTTTATATTTCACACATACTTTGCTTTTTTCCATATGGATTGATACACAAAATTAAAGGAATCGCATTCTTATATACCTCAATTTTGCATGATGTTACATTATTTATGTCTTATTGGTGGTATTGGTCGGAAAAAGGAAGTTAGGTTGCATATTCAGTAATACACAAATTAAGAGGTCAGATTTATATACTTATCAGGTGAGCTTATGAAGTTCTTTCATAGTTGTAGATGTTTTCAACTACTTCATTCCAGTTTATTTCACTAGCACAAAATCTTTAAGCAAGTCTCCTCCCAAAAAGATGGGTATAAATTGAATGAAAAGGGTTACTGCTTGGTGTTATGATAAAAAAAAAGAGTGGTAAAATGATCTGGTAGGACTTAGGTGTTCAAATCTCTTACTTTATACTGCATATATGTGCAATTACATACTGGGACAGTGTGCTCTTTCTTTCTTCCTTTGCCACCATATTACAGAACCTATTCAGAGATTTCCTTTACCCTTTTGCTCTTTTATTGTTATTCTTCCCACATTCCTAATACTTATATTTTTTTCTCAGGCAAATGATGCATTAGCCAATCTTGAAGTTCCAGTTGGGTAAGATTCTTGCTGAAGTTATTTGGTACTTTGGCAATAAAATTCTTAGAATAATTAGTTTCTGTTAGGGAACTGTATCATCTAAAGAAAGTTCTTTCTACAAGTCAGTGGCTTGGTCATGTTTCATCTTTGTTAGGGCCATGCCAACAATAGGCATCTGTGCCTCCTTGTTGTCTACTTTGTTGATCATTATGGATGCATATCAGATTTTTCCACTTGTTTAGTAGAGGAAGATTTTTCTAAGTCAAGTCAAATCCTCCTTCCAACAAAACCTCCCCTAAACCTTGATGTAGAGTTGAGCACAATATAAAGTCTTGTTACAGTCACAGGTGTTCTCAGATTAGCTTTTCAATTATCTGTTTGCCTCTTATTGGCTTATTTCAAGAAACTTAAATTTATTCGCTTAGAGCTAACTTCTTTTCAATGTATAGAATAACATGACCATTTTAAAGGTTGACAATTTCTTTACCCTGAAACAATGTTACTTATTTTATTTGTTTTTAGTTACTTCCTCTACTGTTTTCTGCTATCCTCTGCTTCAAATCCCAAAAAGAATTAAATATAGAACATTTTTACTATGGTGGAAGCAATGTATTCATTTAATTGTATTTGTCCATTAGAGCTTAATCCAGTACCTTTGTTGACTAGAACTATGTTTTCCTTGGAAAGGCTATTCTCTTTTTAGTGCAGGGACATCAAAAGAAAAGAACAGTTGGAGAGCACTTATTGTATTATGTTTTCCTTTCCTTGTAAGTTGTATTAGTTTTTGTTGGCTAGATCATGTGGGAGTGAAAAATTGGTCTACGTAATTCACTAAAACTCCATTCTTCCCTTATATAAGCTAGACAATTGGTGAGAAGAGAAAAAGATGACCAAGTATTGAAAAGATAACAAGGAAATTTATAGAATAATAATAATAATAATAATACCATAAAAGATAAACTGAAATAGAATACAACTATTATAGAAAAGTGATCCAAATTCTAAAATTTTAAAATGGTAAGAACTGTGGAAAGGAAAAATGTGCCAGAAAAGAAAATGAAGTTGCAGGACAAGAAGAAAATCGTGAATGGTATGGGAGGAGGGAGATTACTAGTACCAGGGTTGAGGTCATGGAAAGAATTGCCGCAGGGATGTAGGTGGATCAGGGGGGTATAGCTATGTGCAACATGTGCTATTTATATAACAAACATGAAGAGAATGGAACTACTTCTTTCTACACTGCTGGGTAGCTAAGCAACTCTGGGATTTCTTTCTCAGCATGTTTAAACTGAATTGGACCGTGCCAGTCTCTGTGAAAGATCTGCTGCTACATTGGAGCCTCAAAGGAAGAAACAAGGTACTGAAGGGAATCTGGAAAACAGTCCTTGCCTGTGTGTTAGGTAGTTCGGAAAGAGAGAATTTCTGGGTGTTGAGGGTAAAACAACTAATGCCCAGGAGCTGAAATACAAGTGCTTTTATATGCTGGTTTTATGGTGTAAATTTCAGGATGTACATGATATTGACAGAATGATAGATTTCATTAGCACTCTACAGACATAGCCTGTAGGACCTACTGAACAAGATATTCTCCTTCTTTTGTTTTTCAAATTTAGGTAATATCTCACTTTTGTACAGTCCGATCACCTTCTTGACATTTGGCTTTGTTCCATTTACAAAAAAAAGTTCTTTACTGATCAGAAAAGGAGGTAGGCAGCTTATGGAAAGCTGTGGTGGTAGGAGTAAACAAAATAAATGTAGAAATTCCAAGGTGGCTGGAAGAAGATGCATTGTCAGGGTGAGAGTTGCTGGTGTGAGCACAGGGAAGGGTTGGTGGAGGGTGGCTTGTCTAGAGTTTCAAGGAGGAGGAAGAAGAGAAAAAGGAGAAACTTTTGCTGAGTTAAATAAAGAAGAAGAAATGAGGACCTGTTGGTCTCTATTTGAACTTGATGGGCAAAGGATATAACCCCTCCCCCCTCCCTCCCGCTCTCCTCCCAAGTGTAGTGGTGTTGGTTTAAGATAGTGAAGATTTTTTGGATAACTAATCCTATGCAATGGTGTACCAAAACACAGGATTGGCTGGAATTAAAAAAAATTGTCTGTTGAAGTTTCTTCAATTGTTTTTGTTCAGTTAGCATATTTGATTATGTTTTTCCACGTTTCAGCTGTGTCTTTGTTGAGGATGGGGAAGTCATTGCCTCAGGAAGAAATCGAACAACTGAAACAAGAAATGTATGTGTTCAACTCTTAAATTCCTTAATAAGATCTGTATTGGGTATCTTCCATTATGTTAGATGGTGCTAAACTGCTGTCGATATGTATGCTGAGATAATCTGTCTTGCCCACCAATATTCATATGTATTTGATAAATATTCACGCCCAATGTCCACATGCATGCTGTAATAAATATACCAGAGAAAAAGATGTACAGTGCAGGAGAGGTTGTATTGCAGTTGTGATATCTCCTGTTTCGTGTTGCGTGGTAACTTTTGAAAGCATCATTGTTTACTCTCTGAACCACTTGAATTTTTTTCCTTTAGCTCAGTCGCGTAATTGTCCATAAGTGTAGGTGTGAAACCATAATGCGTGAAGGTGTTAAAAGGGATGGGGTACACTTAAAATCACTTGAAAGGAAGTTGTCTTGAAAGACATACAATTTCTTGGAATCCATATACATGTAAAATTAGCAAATATACTAGGGTATAACGGCCGAAAAAGATCCATTCTATTGATACCAATTACTTAAGGTCCTATGCTTTTAGGAGTCTCTTAGTCATATGAGAGATTTATACACTAGAAGAAAATATAGGAAAAAACCTATTATCTTTTTTCAGTATTTTTATTTTGTATGATATTGGTCTCAGATTAGCTCAAGTGAAATGACATGTGTGTGTGGGTCCCAAAGTGAATTTGTGAGAGAAGCGTAGTTGTCGTTATTTGTCAATCATGTAATTGGCACAAGAAGGGTAGAGGAAAGAATGAACTTCTGCACAAAATACTTCTCCAAGAAATGGAGATTGTTTTGTGTCACCAAGGGAAAAGTGGAAAATACTGCCGTTATCATGCAAGGATGAGGGTTTGGGGGGTTCAGAGTGGAGATTTACCATAGACATGAAAAAAGATGTTTTCTAGAAATGTATGTGCTCCTAAATATATTTACGCTTGAAAGATATTTTTCTTGATGGGAATCTTCTTTCTATTTCTCCCATATCATGTTGTAGTTTATATATTTAACTTTGGATTTTTACTTCATTCATTATGCATAGATTGCCTTGTGGTTCTCACTCTCAGTCCTGTTGCGCTGATATGCCTTTTGAAAAAATCTTTTCTCGCATGGGGATAAGACCCATTACTTGCAGATGATTATTTGCTTGGTTTGGCTTAATCTATTGACTTCCACTAATTATTTAACGCTCGATACTGAGGTGCACCTATTTCCTAATCATGTAACCTGACTAAGCATTCTTATAAATCCAGGCTACAAGACATGCAGAGATGGAAGCAATTGATTTTCTAGTTCAACAGTGGCAGAAAAATGGACTTTCACCTCTTGAAGTTTCTGAAAGATTCTCAAAGTGCACTCTGTATGTCACCTGTGAGCCATGTATAATGTGCGCAGCAGCCTTGTCATATCTTGGTATGTTAAAGCATTTCATTATCTGCTGATCTTGCTTTACATATCATTAGCACATTTCTCTAACATAACATGTTTCCTCTGCAAGGAATAAAGGAGGCATATTATGGATGTGCAAATGATAAATTTGGAGGCTGTGGATCTGTACTATCACTTCATACCAGCAACTCTAATCTTCCAACTAGGTTTGATAATATACTGAATATTATTCTCCACAATTCAGCTTTTCAAGAAAAAGTGACAAATGGGAAATTAATTGGAAGTTACAAAACATAACAGTGAATTAGCCTCATCAAAAAAGGGTTTCAAATGCACTGGGGGAATAATGGCTTCTGAAGCAGTTTCTCTTCTTCGGAGCTTCTATGAGCAAGGAAATCCAAATGGTATATCTCTATCTCCATAACATCATAATGAAGTAAATGCTGTTTGACACTAGATACTATACAGATAGTGGAAGATGACTGACAGACTCTAGTAGTTTCAACCTGGAATTTATTCATCAGTCATCGTGTCACTGAATTTGTTGTTTTCGCACATGAATCAATATATTTAGAAATCCTGCTAGAAATTACCCTGGAATGAAGTCAGGTCTCAATTCATGTGTCTTGGTTTATTTGATATTGCTTCTGATCTCATTCATTCAGCATAACTATCACATATTACAGAGTATTGTCTGGAGAAAGAGTGCCCCGACGTGACTGTTAGTGGTCTACTAACAATCCATAAATATGAGGTTTTGCACCATTTTCTGAAAGAGGAGTGTAACTGGCGAACTGCAATAATCTCTTTCAGCTTATAAAGTAAAGGTCTCATTCAAGCTTTGACAGGGTAAAGTCTTTTATTAAAAAATGAATTGGGAGGGGGTTCAAAGAGTAGAGAAGATGTTCATGTATACTTTCAGAAAACATGCTAAGACTTTGAGGCTGTTCTCATCATGTTCAGAACATGATTGTTCATCCATCTCTTACGTGTTGCATGTTTCTTTCTAGTGTTGCTTCTGTTATGGCACTTATTATTTGTATGAGCTTGCTACTGCCAGCGTAACATAAAAATGAATTTTCTTTTTATTAAGGTTACTCACGTTTCAAACTAACTTTTCCTTGTTTAGCAGTAAACAGTGTATCAGTAGGGTTATAGGAAAGGGGATGAGTTCTGGTATTTAGATAGAGAGGTCAAACAGGTCATATGGATTTGATGTGTTGAATGTATTTGCACCAACAGTTGAAGCACTTAAAATTTCTTGAGCGCGCACTCATGTTTCAAGCTTATTTACATTTGAATTGCTATAACATAAAGATCCTTTCTTCTCCAACATCAAACTTGTTTTGTCTGTTGCAAAAGCTTGAGTAATTCTTGTTTCTATCTATGATTTCAGCACCAAAGCCTCACAGACCTCTAAAGCAGCAAGTATAGAAGTAGCAAGTGTCAGTATTCCTTCAACTTCTGGTACAATTTGTTGGTTATCATCCAACATTGGTACGGTTTTATATTATTGATTATTTATAAATTAGTTCAAATACTTTATGATTATCGATTGCTTTAATAGGAAGGGGCAAGTGGCAAAATATTCGTATTTGAGGCCACCATTTATGTCATAGCTGAATTTTATAAATTTTTGTAAGGTTAGTCAAGGCATGCAAGACTAAAGTTGTAAGACATTGTAAACTAAACTTGGCATATTGATGTGCAAGCAAACTTTTGATTTTTTTTTTCTTTGGAGTTAGACTCTTTTGACAATTATGTCTGAAGCTTGCAATAATAGAATTTCTAAGTGTCTTTAATAATATCACTTGATATGAGTTTACTTTTCATATTCAAAATTCAAAACACCAGAAATTGAACTTGTATCATTTAAGCTACTCTAACTTTTTCTTGGTAAAAGTGAGACACTAGGCAGTACTTGAGCTGCTACAGTACAAAAACACGAAACTGGACTAGCTTTTGATATTAGGCAGAAGGAACAAATTGACCAAGTAGTAGTTTTTGTTAATGTTTTACTCAAATTGTCTTTTAAGAAAACACTCTCACCAACAACTAGAAGAAAAAGAAACACACGCATAGCAGGAGCTTAGTGTACCAGATCACTAAGCTTGTGAAAGAAAATGGAGAATCAACACAATGACACCACCATTGCAAACTCTTTAAATGGTAAAGCAATTTTGATTTAGTGGTGACTAATAAAAATCAGATAAACACAAAGAAAAGAATTGGCCTTTGGCCATCACTTACCTTATACCTATAGGCTTATAAAACACAACTCAAGCTACTAAACATCATATATGATTGTCACAAATTGCAATAATATAAGTACAAGACCAGATTAACTACTCATAACCATTAAGTTCTCAAGGAAATGCTTGCTCTTTTCTTCTTTTTCCAATCATCCTTCTATAGATTCCAAACACATGAGCAGTTAGAGAAAACAATGATTCTACTAACTAGAATGAAACGGCCTGTGCAAGCAGATAACATTGCAGAACTATTTTATATTATTTGCATGCACCTAGAAACAAAATATAGTGTCAATAACCTTTATATATGGAAATCAGATGTCTACCAACTCAGATGAAGTAACTGAAATGGCCTGCAGAGATTAGGTATTGACAATAAGCAGAGCAGCATCTTTTCTCACATTTCTATCAAAATTCACATCCAATGGGTACTATTTTATTTAAATATAGATAGTTAAGACGAGACGAGACAAAATTGAGACAGGATCAGGGCATATTTGAAGATGACACACTCTAAGATTGCAAGTTTCAAATAGCAACAAACATCAGCGCTGCAATTGTCACGTACTAAAAAACAGATCTTTGAATTGAAGTTGAACAAAATCAACTAGTCAGATTCTAATCTTTGTCTTCGTCAACTTCAGACCCAACTGTTGGAACGGCACTTTTGGTACTTTCAGGTGTCGTGATGCGTCCAGTCATAGGATCAACTAATCGAGTGTCCCGTGGACCGCCTTTTTGTCCCATAGCCAACATAGGTGGAGGAGGTAGTACGCCTGCTCGGAAAAGAAGGCGTTGAACTGGATCTGAAGGCTGTGCACCTACGGATAACCAATACCTGCAGAACCATAAATATCAGGAAAAGAATACATGATTGTATAATCCTGACAAATATCTGATGATTAAGAGTATAAGAACCTATAAGCTTTAGTTCTTGCAACAACTACAACAAAATCACAGTATAACAATTTGATCCCTATTTTCCATTTAAAACCTTTGCCAGACTAAAAGTTGTGCGGCCACAATCTCATAAACAGGAAACAAGTAATATCAGCTTCAGAATTTATCATATCATTAATTATGCTCCTGTCTTGTATGAATCAACGCGCACCAGTAATCAAGCACTTTAAGTTTTCATCCCTACAGTACTAGCCACCTTCCTTTTCCTGACTGATGATAGGTCATAAGTCATCTGATACACACTAGAAAGGAGTTTCACTCCCTTTAAGAGGTCCACCTTGCAAATAGCTGCGAGACTGCACACCTTTATTTGGAATTATATTGAGCTTTTTACATAAAATTGCTTTATCTTAAAGCCTGTTCTAAAACACTAATCAACTTAATCCTTTGAATGACTCATGAGAAACAGTAGCAAAAACAAGAAAGTCAGTACTAATGTTTTTCTACAAATCGGAAGAAAAAGATCCGACATATATCAACTACAATTTAACTCTCTGACTAACCCAGCCAAAATGAGTCCCTGGAGCAAAGTAAAGGAGTTAAAAAAGAGATACTAACTAATAAATATCATTTCTTAATTTGTCTTTTCAGTGTTACATGATCATTTTTAACCTTCCAAAATCACAGCCACACACTCCTAATACGCTAAGCCAAGTCCACAAATACATATTAAATTATGTGTAGTATACAGCACACTCAACAAATGAACCATTTTATCATGTTTATGGTCCATGTACACAATTAACAGAAGAAACAAGAGAATAAAAAATGACAAGATCTTTGATTATACCAAACACAACACTCACTAATGTTTCGCCCCATCTGCACCCAAGCAAGTCCTAAACAATCATTGCCACTTGAAGTTAACAGTGCAGCAGAGAACCATTTATTATTCTCATCATTGTGAACGGATAACATCATTCCTATTTCCTACAACTTAAAGATGACAAACCCTCATCTTTAAAAGCAAAAAAAATCAAGAAAGTCTAAAACAGCAAACTATTAACAACTTCCCAGGATGAGTTAGCATATTGTTCACCAGTTCAACCAGATGAATTTTGTTTTTCCAAAGATGCATCTCGATCAAGTGGGCCAGCATTCAACTTTTCACGCTCTCAACAAAATGTACACAGAAATAACTCACAAGAAATTTATAGCACTAGAACTCATAATTATAATTTTCTTTGATAAGTAATAAATTCTTGGATGAAGAACCTAAAGGGATACAAGACATACAACTAAGTATACAAAGCCCAAAGGACTACATAACACCCAAAATAACAACCCCCGCCCACCGACACACAAAAAAAGGAGGGGGCTAGTGTGGTATAATGCTACTGGTCTCTGAAACTAAATATGTTCAATAAAAATCTCAATTGCATAGTTATCTTTGCCTTTTCGCCAACATAATTAACATTGGTCCATAACCTCCTTAGCTCCAGTTGCACCTATTCCATACAACTTCCTCGATAACTAAATTCAAATAGCTTATTTGATCCTTCATACATATCTGGCAATAGTGTATATATATATATATATATATATATATAAAATCACCCTAGAAACTGCCTAAACACTTCAAAGTACTGCATTAAGTCAGCTCCCTGTTCCACTCACTCATTCTTTGAGGCAGCTCATGAGAAAATTTTGTCCATTTTTGGTCACTGATTAAGGCATTGCATTTCTGATATGCATCTGACAACAATCTGGTTTGGGCAGCGTATTCAGTCAATCCCTAAGTCAACTATATTCTTTTCGAAGACTACCAACGAGATGGACAGAAAATTTAAAATGACCAATTAGCAAAATCTGTTTTACGCAACTACAATGTTATTCTTGATCCTACAGCTATAAACCAGTCTTAACCGTACCACTTCATAGCCGTACAAGAATTTCAATGATTTTCCGGATCAAATAAGCTTTGCCTAAATAAAAAAGCTATACTAACGTTGAGCTTCCACAGCCTGCAGAAGCAACTGAACTATTACCTTTGAGTAGTGTTACATTATTCTTTGTCAGACAACAACAACAACAAAAGCACAATACATGACATGAACTCTAAAAGGGTTCACTCTTTAACTTGTTGTCAGTCATCTCAACTTTAAAAAGAGAGAAAGATGCAATTCAAGAATCTCCAAATTACAAAAGGAACACATGAAATTGGGAATCAATCACAACAAAAACAACAAGTTTGGAACTTTACTTACTTCAACCTATCAAAATTAAGACCCATCCGTTTACCACCATCTTGCCCTGTACAAAAAGAAAATTATACAAACTTATACATCAGCACCTCAACAAAACAAACAAATATTTGAATTCAAGATTCAAAAACTTAGGTTTCTCTCAACAACAGTACAAATAAAGCTAAAAGATGAAATTTTTTCACATGGGGTTAATCCAAAGTAAGGTGAAATGAGTAATAAAATCAATTTTCGATGATAAACAGCATAATCAATCAATAAAAATTGTGTTTGTTACCTGGTAAAGGATTGTAATAACCAAGTACTTCCAAGTGTTTGCCGTCTCTCGGAGATCTGCTATCGGCGGCCATTACTCTGTAAAAAGGTTTGTTTTTGCATCCAAACCTCGATAACCTTAATCTTACCACCATTTTCAACTGCTCTCCGGCGAATGAATCAACTGCGACTGTCAATCCGGCAACGAATTGTGACTCTAGGGTAACAACACCACCTTTTTTTCCTTTTTGTTACAAAAAAAATATAATACTTACTACTAATGTCCCAATTTTTATTTAAATGACACTTTTTATTTTAATTTCAAATAAATTATAAGATTTTTAAAAATGTCCCAATTTTTATTTAAATGACACTTTTTATTTTAATTTCAAATAAATTATAAGATTTTTAAAAATAAGTTATGATCTAAAAATGTACTTATTTTTACCTAGTTTTATTAAGATGTTTTTCAAGAAAGGAAAAGAAAAACAAATTATGATAGCGTGTTTTCGTATTAGGAGTTAATATTTATTATTTATGATATTTTTTAATATAAAAATGCATTTTTTAAGGACAGATTAAAATTGAAATAAAAAAAAGTATTCTTTTGTAAATATAATAATAATGATATATTTAGTAAAATTTTATTAGATAGGATTTTTGTTTTATAAATAAACTTATCTTTAATATAAAATTAAATAAAAATAATAAGCGAAACAGAAAAATAAAATAAAATAATTGGTTCATACTAGTAATTTGGGAACATAGCAACCAAAATTCAAGTAGCAATCCATTTATACTAGGTATATTTAATAACAATATAAATTATTATGGATAAAGCATATGCTTTTGGCCTCCATATGAATTTAATCGAATTTAATAAATTTAATTTAATTTTGAATTTATAATGATAAATTATTAAATATGTATAAATTATTAATCTAAAACTTAAAAAAGATAGAATTTTAAATATATAAATTTTAAATTGTCACTCCGCTTCCGAAGAGAAGGTAGTATTGTAGTGTATATCTCCTGCTTCTTGGTAATTGTTCAGAGCATCATAGTTACCTTTTAAAGCATTTAATTATTTTTTTTTAATCTAAAATACAATATAATTATTGGCAATAAGTGAAGATGTTAAAAGGGAACAGGGTAGATTTAAAATTACTTGGAAGGAAGTTGTGTTGAAAGACCCACAATTTCTTGGTATCCATATACATGCAAACTAAGCAAAAATTAGGGTATAATGGAAGAAAAAGATTTAATGGTCAATCAACTGATTGAGAATCATGAAGTATGATCGTAAGATCCCAACAGTGACAAACAATTAATTTCTTTCATTTGTCATAGACTTAATGGATTGAATTACATGATCGTGTGTAGTTAGTTGAGTTTCGATAAAGTGGCTCAACACTATATTTATTTAAAAAAGTAATGATATTATCTTGTTTTAACGTATAAATCTTTTACTATCGCACCTCAAAAAGAATATGCATGACCATCACAAAAAAAATTAAAACTAACAAACATAGCTAGTGTAATTGCACAAGTAGATTTCAGTGGATAAAATGTTTTTGAAAGACCTTTAGATGTTCAAAAAAGGTTTGAGAAATATAGGAGTAAAAAGATGTAATGAAAATAACAAAGGAGAAATTAATGACAACAAAAATAGTAAAGATACGCAAAGTAAAAGAAGCAATAATAATAGTAAAAAATTGAAGAATAAGATAATGATAGAATGGCAAAAATAATAGTGTAAGAAGAGGGGGGGATGGGGGATATAAGGTGAGTAGAACTCTAAGGAGAGCATGTACTGCCTAATCATCTCTTGTCAATTCTTCTTTGGCGGCCTACCGTTACTTTTATCTCTCTCCTCTCACGTTTAACTTCTCACACCTTCACATTGAGGCATATGTAATTCTACTATTCATGTGTTTGAACCCCCATCCCTGAGTTTGTCTAAATTTGTTTATAGAACATGGTTTTGTTTTATGATTTCTTCATTTTTTTTATCAAGAACAAAACAGTAATTCGATTCCTCATTGATCCCAAGTATTTATCTTACATGGGGAATACATTTTGAAAAAATGCTAAGCAAATGACTTTATTTCAAGTTCAGTACTCTGGTTTTCAAGCATAGAGGAATCATACCAATTTATTTTGAAATTGGTGATTAAACTCTATTACGATAAATCAATGATTTTAGCGTTATAGAGAATGTCTTGAGACTGAGAATCAGAGCATCAGCAGTCCTAGAAATCTCATCCCTAATGAGCTAGAAGTGGAATAAGCGCTTTTAGCCTTTGATAATTTGACGTCACGAAGAAGACTGTAATATAAATGATATCTGGTGAAAAGTATTTCCTATTTTGAAACAATGGTTATGTAGAAATCTTGGGGATCAGGGTGTATTCCCTAAAGCGTCAATTAGAGACATCATTTTCCTTCTGGAAACTAATGTGTAGTAAGGGAAAAATAATTACTACAATAAGTGTTTGTTTGGCCATGCGATATGGTGTCATGATATGGCATCATGATATGAAATCATGCGATGAAATTGAGTTTGTTTGGACATGCGATATGGAATTTTGGTGTTGTGTGTTTTCTCATAAACATAAAAATCTCATAAGTTTTAAAACTATTAAAATAGCCTCAATTATCTATTCAATATTATACACAAAAATCGTATAATAAATTATTACAAAGTTATTTGTTCTCCACTTAAATAATTGTTTCATCAATATATTTGAGTAGAAATGAAACACCTTTCACGGGCTCTTCAAGATCTTATTACTAAACAATCGTGTAAGTTAAAGTGACTATATGTCGGTGAGAATAAAAATTTAAAAAAGTAATGATGTGATTATAAATTTTATTTACATATGAAATAAATGGTTAGTAGATACAAACGTAGAATCTTAACAAAATATAAACTCGTTAATCAATTTTTGTATTAAAATAACTCAAATCATGATATGATATTCTCATATGATTCCATATCATGGTTTTTGGAGAATATGATATCACATCTCGTGAGATGGAATCAGCGTAAAATTGCATGTCCAAACGATGATTCTATCTCACAATACCATATCATGACATGATATTACATGATCAAACGTCTATTAAGTACGAGAATAAAAAATAATCAAAAATATGGATGAATATATAAAAATCCATAATAGAACTTGGGATCTTAAAATTTTGCCCTTCTTTTTTCCTTATTGCAAACTATACTTGCACTTTTTGGATGCTATAAAGTATTATGTTTTGTCTAATAAGATTTGAACTTAGCTAATACGAAATTAAGGGCTATACAGTTAAATTTCTTTCTAACAATTTTTTTCTTTGGAAAGAGTCGAACTTATTTATTCTAAAGTCGTTGAGGCTTATATAATAAAATATCATTATTATAAAAATAAAAAAAATTGTCTTGAAAGAGTCAAACTTAGCTATTCTGGAGTTGTAATTGTTTGAATCACATACTGACCCTAAAAAATATTGACGTAGTTATTTGTCATTCTGAAGATTTTTTTTATCGTTGACTGCTTATGTCACCATTTTTATAAGCACTTCAAGCCCACAAATAATATTGAGACCACTTGACATGTCATTTGACGAGGGGGGGCGTTTTAAAGGTCATTTAGTCAAGCCTAAGGGTTTTTAAGTACCCACAAATAAGGTAGAAAGCAACATTTCACGCCAAGTATGGAGGTGTTTCTATCACTTCACTTTATTTTATTTTATGGTTAAAAGTCACTTATCTCTATTACACAAACTTGGATCCATTTAGATTGGTTTAATTTAGTTGTTTTTAAATCAAAATAATTTTTAAACAGTATTGAAGTGTTTGAATAAAATTAAAAAATAATTATAAATGTTAACTTTTAAGTTAAATAACCAAAAATATATCGAAAGCCATTTTCTAGAAACAAGTCACAAGCCGAAGTTACTCTAAACCTGCTGTTAATTAGCTAAGGCCTAAGCCAAATGGGCTTTACGAATTACGATAGTAGATGTTTATAATAAAGCCCAAAGTTTGAAAAAAAAAAAACTTTATTTATAATATTAGTTATTTATTGGAAAAATTGTATATAATAGCAAACTAATAACCTAAATTAAATGGAATAGCTAGGGTTTGACTTAATTGTGCTCCATAGCAAACATTAGCTAAAATTTGACAGCGTCTCTCTCCCAAAAATCTCGCTCGCTTTATACACAGAAGTGTATAATTTTGTTTCTGTTTTGTATAAAGCGAGAGAAAATTGTATATACACATGCAAAAATGTTTATCATCGTGTTATACACTTAATTATACAATTTACAAACATTTTACTTCAAATATTGCAGAGAAAAAGGCCAACGAATTATACAATTACGAATAATACAATTGCAGTGAAATACAATTTTCTCTAGCTTTACACAACAGAAGTGTATATATTGTGTTTCTGTTTTTGTATAAAGCGAGAAAAACATATATCTTCTTGCTATACACTTATAATTATGCAATATACATACATTTTAATTCGATTCAACTGTATGCAAAGCAAATTATACAATTGCAACGAAATAGGCCAGCGAATTATACAATTTAGGCCAGCGAATTATACAATTTAGGTCAGCGAATTATACAATTGTATATGTATAGCGAATTATATAGTTTTATGTTTGCTATGGAGCGCAATTATGCAAAATTTGCTATAGCATACAAATATGAATTTTTTGTTTGCTATATGTGAAAATTGCCCTTATTTATTTATGTATCAATTATGAGGAATTTATATATTATTCTATGCAAATTTTAATTATTTATATATTATCCCTCTTAATTTATACATTTGTTAGCTATGAGGATTTTAAATTGCTAATTGATTATCATGTTAATTTTTTATATAAGTAATTTACTTCCTAATCAGATATCAAATATGAGGCGAAACTTTATTCTTACATAACTCATTTTCAAACTACCTATCAAAAGACCTCTTAAGATGTTGGTGTTTGGCTATGAAGGTGGAGGTGTTTATGTGTTAGAGTTTAGGTAAAATACAATTACTATGGAGCGCTATTTGTGTAGCTCGTTTATCTTGTTCCATTAGAAAAAAAAAATATTTTTTTAAAAAATTATATTTTTACGAATTTAACATATATTTTAATA